CCCACCACTCTCTCATCAGTCTTTATGTCCTTTTCACAGCCTCAGACACGCTTTTAAATTTAAACAAATGTTAAATCAATAGGATTAGTTTTTGTTATACAGTAGGTACACAACATGATTTTTAACTAGATGCCACTAAATATTTTTACAAAACATAATGAAATGTTTGTTGTTAAACTTCATTGCAGACACTGATACATAATAAGTTTCATACATATTTCCCCCTTGGGACAGGTCCCTGTTGTGGACAAGCAATTTTAGGCTTCAGTAAATGTCAACTGATGTGTTAGTCATTAAGTTTCAGTAGCATTTTGGAAAGGTCGTGTTGAGCCGGTGGGGGAAAGCAGTCACGGGTACTGGCTGTGTTGTGCCTGACTGTGGCCTGGCTACCAGCCTGCCAGGGCTTCAGGGCTGCTTGAGATCGCTTCCATGTCTTCAGAGGCTTTGTCATGGTTCCTACACATATGTGGTCAGAATTAGGAACAGGAAACACTGTGGATTTACAGTAAACTGTAGAAATACAGACATATAGATTTGGATCGTAGCTTTGTTTTGCTTCAACCTGGAATGTATTTAAATTAGTTTTTATTGGCTTACTCCACATGATTGCTACTTACATACTGATGCATAATTTATTTTACCAGTTACAAGGGGGGATTTTCTGCAAAGCATTTGTTGTTATTTTTAAAACTTTTAAGCAAATGTATCTCATAATACTTCTGTATGTGTACTTAAATGTGATTTTAAATGATGAATTTTTGCTAATAATGGAGTGTTATTAAATTGTGGTACTGGTAAGGAAGTGAGTGTTTTTTTCACCATTGACTTAATTACAATGTCAGAATCCATTTTTATGATCTTTAAAGAGGCTTTGATAGGCACCGTGACCTTTTGTTCTTCTTTCAGGGATCCCAGATATTATATTATGCTGAAGTTGGCTTTGACTAGGGAGTTGTACAGCAAGTAAGGGACCCGCATTCTTTATTTCACACTGAATTGGGATTAATCACCTCTTACTGACTTCAGGTGACATCAGGTGCAGTGTGAGCTCCTGTTTGACTGGTTACAGTTAAGAGGAGCTTTTAATTTGTTAATTCAGTGTTTAAATAAAGAGAATATTAACAGTTTGTGTTTATTCCCACCATCCTACTGATGTAACTGCTCTGTGTTTGGATGCACTAATCAAGAACACTTCATTCTTCTCAAGGCCAATTCTGCTTTTATGTGCATGCTCTGTCTGTTTACAGAGCGCTGTGGTTTCACAGTAGCATAATCATAATTGACAGAAGTAGATTTACTGATAATCCTTGGCTTTGCTCTCGCTGAATGACGCAGAGTGTGGCACTGGCTGTCACCATCACATGTCCTTGAGTTAAAGCTGCATGTTGCCCTTGACACACAACTCTCTCTCTCTTCCCTTCCTTCCTCTTTCTTTGTGCCTTATTTTTAAAACATTTATTCCAACAGTCATTGTAGATGTGATTTTATTTTGTTGACAGGGCACATATATGATTGTCTACAGAGCAGAATTTTATTTTCTCAAGAGAATGCAGTAATTACATTTTTTGTGCCATAAGACACCTCTTGATCACAGCTGGTTGAAATGACAGTTACCTGAAATTTAATTTAATATTATTGCGCCTGTAGACTAAATGCAGATCAATATACTGATTTGACTGAATTTGAATTTGAATGAGAATTTTCCCAGATCTAATTCAGTGCTACAGCTGATTGGTGTGAATGTGTGTTATAACAGAATTATGTAGATCAGATTAGTGACAAAAATGTAATAGTCACTGTCATGTTGCTTGAATTAAGTTGAACGCCTTGTCTTTGTAAAAAATCTTCACCCTAGCAAGTGATCATCTTATGTACCATGTCCAGTGTGTATACAGTACTGGGTGTTAATGAGCAAGCTTTTAGGCATGTGTGTAAAACCATATGTCCCCATCTGTATTCACATCTTCATTTCCAATCAATACAGCGTCTCTGATTATGAGTGTTCAAAGCTGTAGAATATGAATGGTACTACAATTTCTTGTTAAATATTAGTACAGCTATGTAACTACTGCTTCTGTCATCTAATTTCCTTAATCCTTGATTAAGGCCTCCACTGCAGCAGCACAGAAAGAAAAGAGGAAACTGAACTGAAATTCCTGTGATGACTGAGCCATGGCCTCTTCTCTTTACTGTTTTGTTTTTCTTTCTGTTTCAGTTGTTGTCAGTTCCCACAGCCCTTTTACCCCTGTGTCCATTAACACACTACAAGTATAACCACTGGACTTATCCTGTTTGGATGGCAGAACGGTAGGGATTTATGGAAAAGAAGAACAGGGAGGATGCTAGGGTCAAATATGGGAAAAAAGAGCGAAGCCTCGAGTGAAAGGGGGAATAAGTGAAGGGGGGGGGGAGAAAGCTCCTGGGAGCCGCCTTGTTCTGGCAGGCTAATTGAAGCTCTGTGTGGCAGCAGGCTCAGAGCTGTCACTTCAGTGAAGAGCCCATTTGCTGCATGTTTCAGGTTGTGTGCTGAATTCTGATGATGCTACTGAATGCCCTGACCACCGACTGCCCCCATCACTGAGACCCCCCCCCCACCTCGGCATGGGCACACAGCACACATCCCACTCCCATCCCCAGCTCTCCACAGATTATAAGTAACAGGGTCAGTAGCATTCCAAACACGAGTATCGACCACAAAGCACAACATGTGAATGTGAATTATTTTGTTCCGAGGATTTTATAAATTAGTCAAGCTATCTTACACATAATAATATGTTATTAGACTCTGCAGGAAGTGTTTTCATTGGTACAGGTTTTCCCTTGCTGGATTAGAAGAAATTACATCTTCAAGGAAAACACATAGCTGCAAGCATTCAATAAATTATTTATCATGAATTGAAGCAGTCAGTTTAAAAATGTCTGCTAAAAACTGAACACAGTAGGATTTTTGTATGGTAAGCTGCAGCAAAAATATCCGTGCACTTAATTATTAGTAGATTTGTTATGTATGTGTGTGACATTTAGCCTAATTACTTGTTTGTGCAGATTCTCAGTCATCCAGGTCATAGTAAACCGCAACCAAAATAACCTTGGAAATCAACTGGACTAGGATATCTAGATCGAAGACGTTTCACCTCTCATCCAAGAGGCTTCATCAGTTCTGACTGACTGGTGTTGAGTCGGAGATATTTATCCCCCTCGGTGTGGTTTCAGTCCTTAGAAGGCCAACACTGCCCATTAACGACTGAGTCGTTACAGCCCAGTATCAGTGAGGGTCGTTACCTGTCTTTGGATCCTCCCCTGTCAACCGACGCCTATTGTCCTGGTGGGCATGTTTGGGCAGAGATCTCAAAACCGGGTTGTAGATGGAAGACAAGTTGTGTCTTAGTCCACCACCCCTATTTAGTGAGGGGTGTTCTATTTTTACGAAAATAGCTTCCTTAACACCTCTCTCAAACCAGCGATG